ATGGATGGACCAGATTGGGGGAAGAAAGGTATTTAAACCTTTCATTCGACTGGCATCCCAAACACTAGCCGCTAGGTCATTGGAGAGAGAAGACAAAGACATCGAAGGGAGCTCAGCCACTAAAGAGACACGGGGCTGCTGTGTTGAAAGCAAAAAATAGCACCGGTAAACTCGATTTTCTCCCTATTTTTCCATTCTCAATCGTTTCTCTTTACTCTTTCGGAGCGAATTGACTCGGAAAAGACTGTGAACTGAGAGAGAAGAGACAAATAAGTCGGGCCAATTTTGGTGAGTCGTTCGCCTCCTTCTGTTCCCTTTTCCTCCCATATGCACTAATAACATGTTGTTTTCTTTGTTTAGCAAAGAAAGGAGAGAAAAGAAGAGTAAATAGGTCAAAGTCGTGGGTGGGAATCACCGCGACTGGTGGTTTCGAGGAGTCACGCTGCCACTGGCTGATTTGGGGTAAGGATGCCTACACCCTTCCTTCTGTAACGGTTCACCGAAGGTAAAAAAAAAATAAAAACAAAAAAATATAATAATAATAATAATAATAGTATTAATTAATCGATAACATGGTAGGGATAGTAATAAAATAAAGTGATATGCATATATATAGGTATATGTGTAAATACACCTGGCAGCACCAAAATCTAATCTGTATCGCATGTTGTTAAATTTAATCTTTAAGGTTACCGATGAAGCTAACAAAATATTGATTGTCATTCAAATTTATTATGCTATTTTCTTAATTTAATTTACACGTATTCTTATGTATATATATTTGCCTTATTTTCATTTGTTTTATTTTGTTTCATATAATTTTATTTTGCTATAATATTCTATATATTCTATTTTATCTAAATCAGTATCACTTTATCTCGTTCCACTTTATTTTGAATCTAAGTTAATTTATATTATTTTATCGTATTATATTTTAAGATATTTTATTTTTATTGTATTTATTTTAACCTATTCGATGATTATTTTTCATTCGATGTACACCCAATTGCAGGTTACGTATTAGTGTTTATGCATGCGTTACAATGATTAAAAATGAAAGGTGGTATAAGCTTGTTTTAGAATATGAATGATGTGGAACAGGTTCGTTGATGAAAATAAAATCGGGCAATGAGGTAAAAAAAAACCGTCATCGGATATCAGAATGAGAAGTATTAAGTGTTATCGTAGATATGATCCTTAGTTATATGGGACTGGAAGATCCCATACCGGACGGGGTATGGGAACGACCGATATAAGCGGTACTCATATCGGACAGGTATGGAGTGGTCGGTTCAAGTGGCGATCATTTCCAAACAGGGTGTGGAGACAACCGATAATTATGAAAGTAATATAGGTATCCACGAGTAGGAGGAACCCCTATGGGATCCATAAATACAGTTGGACGAAAATAATACTGAAGTATGGGTAAGGACATGATAAACAATTAATAGCACTTTATTATATTTTTGAACATATCTAAATATTGTACATAAAAATTGTCTAATGAGAGAGTATTTGATAAATTACTTTTCATAAAAGGAAAGGGTGCGACCGCACCAGCGTAGTTTTTAATATAAAGTAAATGTTCAATCGGTTGTCTTATGCTTTATATAACCCTTTGATTACCATTTCGACGGTAAGTTTTTTGGCATTCTTATTAAGCAAGTATTTTTCACCCTCATTCTTATTATAATTTCATATTATGACGATCAAGACTAGATTTATGACAGTGAGAGAATAGATTAGAACATAATTCTTATTTGCTTTGTCGTATTTGAATTGATATTAATCATTATTGTACTAGTTATCTTTCGTTTTAAGTTTTAAATATTTCAATAGTTCTTATTTGGATATTCTAATACGTGTAAAGAATGTAATCTTTAAATTTTAATTTTTCTATTAAATAAAAGATTTTATTATCATTCATATTGTTAATTACCAGATTAAACGTTTGAAATTTTTAATAGGAGTTTGAACTTTTATATTTTTATTATATTAATAATTAAAATAAAAATATTTTTTATATATTAAATATTGTATAATGTTTAAATAAAAAATTATTTAATTAAAAATAATAACATGATACACTAATATTTAAAAAATATAGATTAAAATAAAATATAAATATAAATATATAAAAATTAATTTAATATTTAAAATATTTTTAAGTTGAAATAGATATTTATGACATGACTTGTTTTCTTTCTAAACGCACCACGTGACAAAAGATTCAACTTTGTCTGTCGTAATTTCTAAAAAAGAAATTAAGTTGATTGTCACTCCATCACCACCATTAATAATAATTAAATAAGTTATCATGTCTTAAATGATTTTTTTTTTAATTATAAAAATATATTACTAAATAAACCCATAATAATTAAATAATGGGTCTTATCAATTTGGGTTTTTTTTTTTTTTTTTAATTTTTATTTTTGACTTTCTTGGAAATGAAATTACCCCATAATCCCGGATATTATTATTAATGTAGTGACGCTGTGTGAGTGTTTCATTCCAAACGGTTGGTTTCTTTCTTTTTAATAATCTTCTTCTTTCACCCGAACCAGATAGATAAGCTCTCACCTCCATGGCAGCTCGCAGAATCTCCTCCTTCCTTTCTCGTTCTTCCGTCTCTCTTTCCCTGCTTCGTTCTCTAGGTAACACAACTCCTCTCTTTGCTTCTTTCTCCTTTCTCCTTTTCGTTTTTTTTTCTTGTATTGTATGGTAATGGTTTTTCTGAAACCAATGAACCTTATCGGTTTCTGCTGATAGAGGATCTTCTGTTTCTTTCAAGCTTCTTCTAAAACTCTAATCATTTTCTTTATCGATGTTTCACACTCTGATTTTATCTGTTTCGTTAGTAGCATATACATGATTATGCTTTGTACTGATCCTTTAATTCTCACTTCAATTTCCGATTAATCCTTTTTTGTTTTGTAGAAACCTCAGGAAAGTATCCAGTATGAACAATTCCTAAATTGACTAATTGAACAAACAGGAAGCTATATGTGGTTTGATTCTCCTTAAATAATCTTAATTATGTTGGCAACATGATCTGCAGGGAATAACTCTAGCAGGGGATCAGGCTGCATCCAAAGGTTTAGCACCGCTACAGCATTTGAGCAACCAATCACTCCTCCAGTTCAAATTTCTTATACTCAGCATCTGATTGATGGCAAATTCGTGGATGCAGCATCAGGTGATCTGACATTCTTTAGTCATAGAGTCTCATGCGCAATATTTATATGTGTTTCTTTGTTCAATGATTTTTTATAATTGCTCATTTCAAAAATGGTGTCATGGTCACTGTTTGTGGTATCAAATTAAGACTCATATAAGCAAATTAACTGACATTCGAAAGGATATTCGTTTGGGATTAGGGAAAACTTTTCCGACCTATGATCCTCGTACTGGTGAAGTGATTGCTCATGTTGCCGAAGGCGATGCTGAAGATATCAACCGGGCAGTAGCTGCTGCTCGCAAGGCATTTGATGAAGGACCATGGCCGAAGATGACTGCTTATGTATATCTTTTATTATTTACTTCCTTAATTGATGCATGTTACAATTGAATTACAGATTATATGATTGATTACCATTGTTTTTCCTTTGTACCTATAATAACATTACTTGATTGTTTGTTTCTTTTGGCAGGAAAGGTCAAGGATACTGTTGAGATTTGCTGATTTGGTGGATAAACACAATGATGAGCTTGCAGCTTTAGAGACATGGGACAATGGGAAGCCTTATGAACAAGCAGCAAAATCTGAAGTGCCATTATTATCACGTCTCTTTCGCTATTATGCAGGTATTTCACTAACCTGAACTGAACTTTTCTGCTCGGTAGTTTTCCATGTAATAATGGTCTTGGCCACTCATCCAGGTTGGGCAGATAAGATTCATGGTCTAACAGTTCCAGCCGATGGAAATTACCATGTCCAGACATTGCATGAACCAATTGGTGTAGCAGGACAGATAATTCCCTGGAATTTTCCTCTTATCATGTTTGCATGGAAAGTTGGTCCTGCTCTTGCCTGTGGTAACACTATTGTCCTCAAAACTGCAGAGCAAACACCCTTGACTGCGCTCTATGCGGCTAAGCTATTCCATGAGGTAGAGTAAGAAAAAAATAATAATAATAAAAATAAAAATAAATTAAAAAAATAATGAAAAGATGAAAATGATGGGGAGCATATAAAATTGCTTTTAGTTTTGATTTGTAGCAAGGGTTTTACATAGTGTTGTTTGTTTACAGTAAGTCTAATTCTCTGTTCAATTTTGAAGATATCTGAATAACCATTGTCCTAAAATCTAATAATTTTCATGATATTTTAATCCAGGCTGGTCTTCCGCCAGGTGTTCTAAATGTAGTTTCAGGGTATGGTCCTACTGCTGGTGCAGCTCTTGCAAGTCACATGGACGTAGACAAGGTACCTTTTCCACTTTTATAAGCTGTTATCTTCTTCAGCAAATATAGGTTTGTATTCAAATGTTATAATACCTAATAATATCTAGTCCAATATAAAATTGAATGAACATGCATCCAGCCAGTTTGTCTTATTTTTCAAGTATAGATGAATTACAATAAATTGAATCAGTTACTTACATGAATAAGATACTGCCTGATTGAATGAACCTGCATGCCAGTGACTCTGCCTGGATTGAATAAGTTCCTTACAATAAATTGAATTACAATATAAAATTGAATGAACCTGCCGATGACTCTGCCTGATTGCTCAGACGAATAAGATACTGAGCATGCCAGTGATTATATGCTACATTGTCTTTTCAGCTTGCTTTCACAGGATCAACCGATACTGGTAAAATTGTGCTTGAATTGGCTGCAAAAAGCAATCTCAAACCTGTCACATTGGAGCTTGGAGGGAAATCACCTTTTATAGTCTGTGAGGATGCGGATATAGATAAAGCTGTGGAGCTTGCACATTTTGCTTTGTTCTTTAATCAGGTTTGATCAATCGGTTCTTCAGAAAAGCTGAGCTCTTAAAGCATTAAACTGTTGACGTAAGAATTGACCATGATATGGAAGTCTACAGGGACAATGCTGCTGTGCTGGATCTCGTACATTTGTTCATGAGTGTGTATATGAGGAGTTTATAGAGAAGTCAAAGGCACGTGCTCTGAGGCGTGTTGTTGGTGACCCCTTCAAGGAAGGTGTTGAACAAGGTCCTCAGGTACTCTCCATTGCCCCCCTGGCTCCAAGACATGATAATTTAAGAACTATGAAGCCTTTTGAAGATTGCTTGTTTTCTTTTTCTGGTTTGAATCATATCATTTTTCCTGTAATATGGTTTCAATAAATTTTGATTTTAATAGATTAAATATCAGTAAGTAGGATCTTTTTACATAGGGATTGAAAGAAATTAAAAAAATGATATTTACTAATCTTGCACAAAAAGCATTATGGATGGTATGCATTTATCTTTCCACTGATAAGGGAAATTAAAAATTACCAAATTCGACTTGCATTTCTAATCTTCTTTTGGCTCTGGCATAAACAGAGGTCTACGAGTTTCATACTTTATATATGTGCTTAGAAAATGTACCAAATGATAAGAGGTATCAAGTGATGTGAATGGTCATCCTGAAATTTTCAGGTCGATTCAGAGCAATTCAATAAGGTGCTAAAGTATATAAGATCTGGTCTTGAAAGCAAAGCGACTCTTGAGTGCGGAGGTGAAAGATTTGGCAGCAAAGGCTACTTCATCCAGCCCACTGTCTTCTCTAATGTCCAGGTACTATTAATTCATTCATGATCTCTTGTAACATATTTTATCAAGATGTTTAAACATGTATCATACTATGAAGCTTGACATTTTCATTAACCAGGACGATATGTTGATTGCAAAGGATGAGATTTTTGGTCCAGTGCAGTCAATCTTGAAGTTCAAGTGAGTAAAAAAGATTCATATCCCAAATCCTCTTCAATTTTGCATCTCAAGAAAGCATTCAGCATAATAATTACATGCATATCTTTTGTTGTGGACTAGGGATGTTGATGAGGTGATAAAAAGAGCAAATGCAACGCGATATGGTCTAGCTGCAGGTGTGTTTACCAATAACTTGAATACTGCAAACAGGCTTATGAGAGGATTGAAAGCAGGGACTGTGTGGGTGAACTGCTTTGATGTGTTTGATGCTGCAATTCCTTTTGGTGGGTATAAGATGAGTGGTATTGGCAGGGAAAAGGGAATCTACAGCCTCAATAGCTATTTGCAGGTGAAGGCAGTGGTTACCCCTCTCAAGAATCCAGCTTGGTTGTAATTTAATTTGCTCGGTGTTAGAACATCATCAAGGCCTCACTTTTTCTTGTCTTGCAAATAAGGACATCTTACTTAATACCGGTGGGTTTGCAGAGAAAACTTTCTGAATAAAATTTGTTTGCTTTTCTTGGTTGGTTAGCTAGCATAAGACTCAAACTCAGAGATGTTATTGGTGTAATTATATCATCTAAGCTAAGGCTTATTTGAAAAAAGAAATTAGTTTCTATCTTGTTAATCGGTTGCTTATACATCATTTTGTTTTCCTTAATCATTTTCTGATTTTTCATCCATCTTAATTTCATTTCATGATCTTATTGTACCGTGCTCGCTGTGCTTGTTTGAGGCTTTCTTCAATTTAAAACCTTTCACTTTTCTTTCTTTTATAACAAAGTTTTTTAATTTAGTCCGCATAAATTTTTGCTTCAAAAATACTGTCTCTGATAAGAGTTAAAAGTTTTTCATTTCTTCTTAGCTGCCATAAAATATGATAAACAAATTTAAATTATAATACAAATTGTAATAGTTGTGATTAAGTTAGAAATTTGTTTTTTCAGGTTTTCTTTTGGTGTCTAATTAAAGCATAAGCCAGAACTGATTGATTACGGGGAGAAAGATCAGTTTTGCGATTTAGTAATGAATTAGTGACAAAATTTATGTTCTTTACTCAAGTTGATTAATTAAGTAGAATCAAAAATAAAAACAAAATTTTTATTGACACGTATATGATACGATACAAGTGTAGAGAGGGACAAGTATATTATTAATTTCATATACCCTTCGTACCCATCACGAGTTTATAATTTTATACTTATACCCACTTTATATATATATATATATATATGTATGTATGTAATTGTATTGTTGTATACGTTATCAAATCAAGAAAAGAACCCCAGCTTATAGTGTAGAAAGGGACAAGTATACTATTAATTTCATATACCCTTCATACCCATTACGAGTTTATAATTTTATACTTATACCCACTTTATATATATATATATATATATATATCTATGTATGTATGTAGTTGTATTACTGAATACGTTATCAAATAGAAAAAAAGGACCCCAGCTTATGCCAAGTCGTCCACCATTTTGTATAGACCACCATTTTGTTCCCAATAGAACACGTAACTAAACACAAACTAAAGAAGCAACATCAACAAATTAATTGCCTTCCGTATTATAATTAAACAAACGTTTTGACTTTTACACTTGGTTTGACCAAAACATAATTTCATAACCTAATCCGTGAAGAAAGAATCTCAAAATTCAATAAACTTAAACCTAATTATTAAAATTTTGACTAAGAAAATCATAATCTCTTTTTAATTTGTCTAACAAAAATGGTTAGATGAAGAATTTGAAGAGAGAGAGAGAGAGAGAGTTTTTAGTCATAATAAAAAATTACTCCAAATTAATGTGAGTTCACATTAATTATTTAATGGTCAATATTTAAATCATTTAATTAAAATGCCATTAAATCTAAGCACACACACATATATATATATATATATATATATATATTATGATGATGATGATATAAGAAGCGCGTATTATTAGTCAATTGCTGGTTGGTCCACGTAACATTTATTTTCTTCACCAAGTCAACATCTTCTAATTAAAAAATCAGTAGCTAACCATACATGAGAAGAAGATATTTTAAAAGTTTTTTATTTTATTTTTAATGATACGATAATCATTATCATACTATAGTTGAATTGTACTTCCACACATTTTTCTAATATTTCCCATAAATATTAAAATTAACTAATTTTAAAACATAAATCATAAAATTTACTCTTCCAATCATAAGTCAAACTAAATAATAGTTTAGCATGAAAATGGAAAAATATTTTTTTAAATTTGAATTTTTTTTTTATTTAGAATCTAGATTCTTCTATTTTATTTTTATTTATTATTTATTTTTTATCTCTTATTTTATTTTCTTTCTTTTTTTTTAAGTCTCGTGAGTTTGATTCTATAAAATCTGACTATTTTTTTATTGAATGAACATTACGAAATAAATTAAATTAAATTAATTTTTTGATCAAAAGTATTATGTGAAATCTTTGATTTTTTTTTTCTCTTTTTCTATCCCTATCTCATAAGAAGAGTGTTTGAATCAATAAATAATATTTTTTTCTCTATTTGTATGAATTAATTATGAATCGATATTATTATATTCTAATTCTTTACCGATACCCTTCAAAGAAAATTCTGAATTGAATATTAAATTGATAGGTTAGTGTAATCTTATCAATGCGGCCATGCACTCTTCGAATAGAAATCTATTTTATGAAAGATCTTAGTTTCTGTATCTTGATGGGTCTCCGAGATCCTTTCAATAATTTATGTTAATTTTTTATATTAATTCATGATAGGAAGTTAGTGATTTAAAATTTAATATAGGAAATGCACGAATTATGATCCCTCACATTAGAATTTCGTTTCATTTTTTTATTGAAACATTTTTAATAACTTATACTTCCAACCAACAAATTTATATAATTCTTTGTTGAATTTCTAAATTGATGGGTTATATTATACTTACGTACTTACATATAGAATATAAACAATTATTTCTTATAAATATCTGTAAATATTCTTTATCATTATTTACTAAAAATAATTATTCATAACATTTTTTAAATAAATTTATTAAATTATTAAATTAGGATTAAAATCATATATAAATTTTGCTAGCAAATTTGCTTAATAAGTAAAGAGAATTGTGTTGAACATTCTAGAAAAAAAAAGGAGAAAAAGAGAGAGAGAGAGAGAGAGAGAGAGAGAGAGAGAGAATATTGTATTAGGGAGTTGGTGTTGAAAAACTCATAAGGATTTGAATTATGGATGGATAGATGATTATCAAAGTAAATTGAACAAAAAAATGTGTTTTCTCAAAAAACAAAAAAACAAAAAATCAACAAAGATGCAACAATCTCAAATGTAACGGCCCCAGAAATTAAAAGGAAATGTATATATATTTATTCTAAGTGCGAAAGCGAAATAAAATAGATTATGATTAACATCTCTTACACAATAACTAAAACGAATTAAAGTACGAAAGAATAAACTAACTTAAAAGAAATACTACGAATGAATGTTGTAAGGAAAACTAATAAATTCTTTGGCTTCTACTCGTCGTCTTCCTGCAAAACGGACTCGGGCACCAAGTCCTCATGATCTGAAATGGTTAAGTAAGGAATGAGCTACACTAGCCCAGTAAAGACATCACACTACCTCACTGTCACAGAAGTAAAGGTTAATAGAAAACGAAAACGACCAATGGAGCATAATTTATAACAAACTCATTTATCAATAATAAAAATCTTTACTGTCCACCTACCTCGGTGAGATTTATGAAAACAATTTATGAAAATAATTACATCATAAATATCATAAGATCACGCACACTCTGCAATATAACACATATCATGTTTTGTATTTCAATCATCAAGCAACAATTACCCTTTTTTTTATCAGGCTACTAGTATTTATGGGGATCCATAAGGGGTCCCTGCTACACGTGAACTATTCACATTAATAACTTAATTCCAGAGCCGTCCCCATACCCTGTCCGGCATGGGCGCCAAAACCATAAACCTCAATACCCCGTCCGGTCTGAGGGTGAAACGGGCCATCCCCATACCCCGTCCGGTATGGGCGCCAAAATACATAAAGTCTCCATACCCTGTCCGATATGAGAGACCACGTTCCCGGTAGGGTTCCTTTTGGACCCGATCTATCCACCATCTCTCAGGATATCTAGTGAGGCTGTCGACATTATCCATTATCAATTCACATACCTTTTTACCATTTTTCTTAATCTCAATTATCCAATCAAACACAAACACGTAAACCAGCAATGGACACCAAACAAGGCAACACAACATCGGGTTCACAATAATTCAAAGCATAATAAATGAAACCGTGATTCATGCATATGAAACCATAGAATAAACACATCAGGTACCATACTGCATTCAAAACTGTAAAATAAATCAAACAATACCTGATCGAAAATATATCAGATTCGGGCTCCATTAGCAATCTCAATCAATTATACATATCTATTAATTCATAAAATACCGTTTTATCATTTATTAGGCTTTAATGTTGTGATAGAAAATAGGGTGAGAGATCCTTACTTGTTTCAGAATATGAAATCGGGTTCTCACTGTGCCTACGGGCAGTCCTTAGATTCCCTGAATTTTTTTCCAAAAATTGAAACACACTTCCGATACCTGCACATGTCTCCAAAAAACCTCAAATCAGACCTAGGGCCTTTTCAGCCAATTTCGGAATTCCGGCACGGCGGCTCCGCCGTGCTCCAGCGACGGCACCACCCCCCACGGCAGCGATCCGCCTCAGGTTGGCCGTTTTCGGTCGAATTCAGCCAAACTTGCATTGGTTATTGTGATAAAACACCCATAGGGCCCTCGGTGAGCCAAAAAATTCCAGAAAACCGAGACTTACTGGCGACGAAGCTCTCGAGTACGGCGGCTCCTTCAGCGCGAGTTGCGATTTGGTGTTTTGCTCTGGTCAACCTATAAAGAAAAGGACGGTAGTCACAGTGATATAAAAATTATATCGAATGAGAAACGGGAAGGGCCTCATCGGAGGTAAAAATTGAGGAAACCTGCGGCGGCGCTGCTGGACTTCGGTGGTATTTTTCGACCAATCGGCTGGTGGTTTAGCTCCGATTTTACCACAGGGAGGTTCGGCATCAAAAAACGAGCCAAAGGGAGAAATTTTACCTCGTTTGGCTGCCGGAAAGTCCTCCAGTACGGCGGTGGGTGGCGGCGGCCGGTTCCTCCGGTGGCTGGGTCGTCTTCTCCGGCGAGGGTTCTGGTGGCTAGGGTTTGGGGTTGGGTGTGGATGCAATTATTTATAACTCTCCATTTTTAATCTAAGCCGTCTATCATGATTTAATCTGGGCTGTCCGATCGCGCGCACGCGGATCACCAACATGTCTCTGTCCCTCATGGGCTTCTTGCGGCAGCGTTCCCTGCCACACGGCGTGTCCTAGTTGGCCGGAACTACTGAACGGACTGCAGTCGTGGCTGCTGACATGGCA